TGTATATATATATATATATTTCAAAAATAAAATTTCATGCAATGAATTATTGATATGTTCTCACTGTGTTGTTGTGAATGCCTGGCCTGTGAATGAGTTGATGAGAGTTGAGAAGCGAGAGTTTGCACGAGAGTTTTCTCAATTCTCATGTATGCCCCGGTCAAACGAGAACAAGAGTAGCATGAAAGTTGACAACCATCGCTTACTGACATTCACGAATAAGAAAAAAGCTACGAGTAGTTTTTACATACTTCTATTTTAAAATCTAGAAAAATGACTTAAGCAATGTACATGATATTCCACATCCCGCTTCTTGTTTTCTACGAACTGCTAACAATAGGTACATATTAAATACACAAAATTTCCCCGGTTCTTTCCAGGACAACGTCGGACAATTTCTGCGAAAAATAACTAACAAACAGGACAGCAGTGGTCTTGTAGTATCTGTGGATTATCACATGTCATCTTGGGGCACACTTGCGTTTCACATTCCGTCCTTGACTCCTGGGGATCAAATGGAAAGTTAGATATGTTGAAAGTTTTACACAATACTTCAGTTTGAGAAGTTATAGATTGAGTATTTTAGTTGCAAGTTGCAACCTTAATCGGGCTTTTCAATGAAAATTTACAATCAATTAAAATATTATAAGTATATAAATCTACCTACTTTAAACTACAATGTTCTTAAGTATTAAGCAAGTCTATATATTATCAGTATACAAAACTATCTTATTCTTAAGTATAAAAATGTTATAAATATATAAATATATGTCAAGAATAGAACAACCCTGCAGATATACAACAAAAGGTAAAACTCACCTGACACATACAAGTTTTACAAGGACTAACTCGCCATGATTCGCCAAGCTTGCGTTCATTTCCCATAAGGTCAATACATACAGATGTCTCGTGTTTCCTCTCTAATCCCTGAACCTGAAGACAAACATACACAAGCTTTCGTTGGTAGATTCCTTCCAGATTAACCCTTATTTCTACTACAAAAGATTATTATTTCTTTACCTTGTTTACAATATTTCTAAGAGTTTCTTGTTGCGACAAAACATGAGTTTGAAGTTCATCAATCTTGGAATAAAGATTTTCTAGTTCGCTGCCATCATCTTCAGTACTGTGTGACCTCTTTCTTCTCTTCACGTCGTTTATACTGGATAAAAGTGTGTAGCTCTGGTCTTTGTCTTGACAATTTTCTGAAAAAAACAAAGTAGATGTAAACATTGTTTCCTGGTGGGCAAACCAGGAGACATTGTTTCCTAGCCATGTTTCCCAAAGGTGGACAAACCAGGAGACATTGTTTCCTAGCCATGTTTCCTGAAGGTGGACAAACCAGGAAACATTGTTTCCTAGCCATGTTTCCTGAAGGCGGACAAACCACGAAACATTGTTTCCTAGCCATGTTTCCCGAAGGTGGACAAACCAGGAAACATTGTTTCTTAGCCATGTTTCCTGAAGGTGGGCAAACCAGGAAACATTGTTTCCTAGCCATGTTTCCTGAAGGTGGACAAACCAGGAAACATTGTTTCCTAGCCATGTTTCCTGAAGGTGGACAAACCAGGAAACATTGTTTCCTAGCCATGTTTCCTGAAGGTGGACAAACCAGGAAACATTGTTTCATAGCCATGTTTCCTGAAGGTGGGCAAACATTGTTTCCTAGCCATGTTTTCGTTTGTGTTTGTCAATCTTTGGCAAACCTCGACTATTCAGAATACCTGTGCAGCATTCCCTCCACATTCGTAGATCAATGTTTGGTAGAGAAGCACATGAGGAATATCCTGAAAGATGATTGGCTCGTAGGAATACATCTGACTGGACTTGTGTTATATTATCACCATTATCACAGAGTACTCGACCCAGTGTCACACGTTTGATCTGCGTAAGTTGCGCTGGCTCGAAGACACCATCGTATTCATACCAAAACCTAGCGAAAACAATGTTAAATATGGTTAAACATAGACTTATGCATACCCCGTGTTAGAAAGATCTTTTTCTGGTAGTTCAGACACAAACCACGGCAGCTTATTGTAGAATACTACCTACACTGGACCACCACGTTTAAGATATCTTTTTCAGGTAGTTCAGACACAAACCACGACAGCTTATTGTAGAATACTACCTACACTGGACCACCACGTTTGAGATATCTTTTTCAGGTAGTTCAGACACAAACCACGACAGCTTATTGTAGAAGACTACCCACACTGGACTCTCGGGGCGTATTTGAAATGCGCGAAAGTTAAAAGCCTGGGTTACCTGTCTCCGTCTCGGAGGTTCTTAAATTGTGTTGCAATGAGACATTGGAATGTCGGACCCAAAAGGCTGCCGGGAATACTATCCTCTAAGATCCCAGCGACCCAGAGATCAATCTTATTCACATCACCGTAAAGTCTCTCCAACTTTCGAATAATATTCTCATTAGATATCACGCTTCTTAAATCATCGAATGTTTTCAAAGCTTCGAGATTACACAGCACACGCCACTCGTTGTAACCAGGTAACCCGTGGTCACGTCCTCTTTGAATATTTAGCGCGCCAAGGTCGAGGGCGACAGCATGCGCCATTTCGAACAACCTCTCAGTGAGTTCTGTATTTAAGACGCCATCTTGGTCCCGCTTGTCTTTTGCAGCGGAGAAGAACAACCCACGTATAATGGGATCGATGCCGCCCTCCTCGACAATTCTATACGGCGCAAAGAATGCCTTGTGCAACGGAATATCTCCTTGTTCTATCGTCCGAAACGACGAGTTTAAACGACTGAGTATCGGGTTGATTAAACTATGTCCAAATCTATACGCGGCCGTTGCAAAACCGTTAAATATAGTTGCGTCCGTATCAGGTTTATATCCTTCGTATTTTCCTAGAATTTCCATGCCTTGTTTTCCAAGAATTTTCGGCAAGTAGTGTGCATATGTAATATGCTGCATTTCCGCGCCGACAATTTTTCGCGTTTCTTGGAAAATTTTCTCGCCGCTCCATTTCGGATTGAGGAAGCGCAGTTGTGTCGCAATCCTGTTGTGTTCGCGCATCCAGATAGTGTGCATAGACAGCAGACCAAGTTGCTCGTTGGCGCGGTGATCACCCGCAAGGAAGCACGGGATTGGACTCTCTTTCTCAGATTTCAGACATTCAATCGGCGTGCCTTTATTAAACGGCAGCAACGGTTTGTCATTTATCGATATTCCCGTTTTTAATAGACCACTTGATAGATCACGCAAGTGCTCTTCCTCGTCATGTGACGAGCCGTACACGTTCGAGGCATCTAAGTATGACGTAATTTGATTCATCTGCTCACGTGTGGACACGATGCTGAAGAATACAGAAGTCGCGCCAGTCCCGCAGGCCGTGCTGGAGCGAGTAAACGTCATGCATTTGTGACGTTTGATACGTTTATCGCCCGGGGGGATTGTAATGGGGAAACAGGGAGACTGATTCTCGCATGTGCTTGTACAATCTTCACCATCTGTGAATCTCTGACTGCTGGGGCTCGTTACAGTGAAATCAAGGTCATGGTCTAAGAATTGCCCCCATTGCATTAACATGTGAGTGAATGTCTCATCTGCGGTTACATTCACAGTAGATATAAGCTCAGTTGATATCAGCCGTGCACTGGGCAAGGCATCTTTGTTACGCCAGCCCATTGGAGTGTTGAAACCATTCTCGTACACAGGTCTGAGTAATCTCCTGAACGCGATCAACGAAGCACCCCACATTGGGTTATCCAGATTGTTACAAGTACCATCAATTGTTCTGTATTTTTTGTGGTAGCACAGGTTTTCTGTACAGTTCACCATACGTCTGTGCTGAGTGCATCCTGAAAGGTTAGCGATCATTTCCAGATAGTTCGGTGATACTAGATCAAAATAATTATAAGATATTTCACTGATGTTCAACATTTTGCCTTTCTCCACATTCTCGTGAATCAGTTGGATGGTTGTCTCGAAAACCTACACAAAAACGTAAATAGAAATATTTATTGAGTTTCTCGCTCATTGGTCAGCGGATTTCCCAACAGGATATTGCCCAATTCATAAGGGATCCGAGGTAC